AGAGTACACATGGTTAGGAAGGCACACAGGCCATGAACGCTCAGTGAGAGATTGTCCTTGGGGAGCCTGGTCTTTCCCATCCAACATGGGTGCAATGTGATGCAAAGCTCAGGCATTAGCAGTTTATGAATCATCAGTATTGCACATAAAAAGATTATCTCTTTTCTGTATGCTGTCTGTGGCCTCCTAGATTTTACATATGGGCTTAAAGAAAACTGATGAACAAAATAGATCCAGAGACATGGAAGCATGGAATAGACTGACAAATCTCAGAGGGGAGGGGAATAGAAGAGATTCACCAAAGATCTTGTATGCTTACTAGAGGCCTGATGTATGAAGATTCATGCAAAAATGGGCCTTCTTTCCCCTGGCTGCCAGCCCGGCCTTCACTCTGGCCAGAGCCACCTTCCTGCCTTCCCACACTGCCCAGAGGCTGGAGCAGCTGGGGCAGTGCATAATGCCTAAATCGTCCCACCCCACCCCTGGCCACTCACATATGCAAATTAAACCTACCATCTTTGTTGGGTTAATTTGCATACCCACTCCTGATTGGCTGGTGGGCATCACAAAGGTATGGTCAATTTGCATCTTATTCTTTTATTAGTGTAGATATGTATAACCCATGGGCATAGACAATAGGGTGGTGAAGACCTTATGGGATTGGGGAGGGGGGGAAAGAAGGTAAGAGGATAAGAGCAGATCAATGGAGGAAAAAAGGGGGCATCTGTAATAATTTCAATAATAATGATATAAAAAGAAAATGTGGGCCTACTGTGCAGAACACAAGTCCAAATGCCCAAGGTCAGAACTATGTACACTGCTGTGGAAACTCCAGTCTCTTACTAAACACCATCACATGCAAAGATGGGAATTCAGTGTCCAGAGAACTATTCTCACTTATGGAAACTGTGGTAATATCCATAGCTGCCCTTTGTCAAGTACTTTCCATGGGTCTGCTGTTAGGTCATTTATATAACCAAGGCCTAACATTTATTGAGCATTTGCTTGTACCAGGCACGGCTCGGTATGTGTGTTATCTCATGGATTTCCCACTACCCACAGTGCAGGTACACCCTCCCCCCTCTCACCCGGGGAAAAGTGGGTGCAGGAAGGGAGAGCAATCTGCTCCCGGTCAATGTTGCTCAAGGCTCAGTCCATAGCCTCTGCCACATCTGCTTCGCCCTCTGTCAGCTGCCTCCTCAGGGGAGCTGACACAGCCTCTTGATGTCACTTGGATATCCCGGATTCTGTCCAGGTCGCCTCCTGCTGGAGGCAATGACTCCATCCCGGGTTTGTAGGAAATGCTACCCCTGAGACCTTGTGGAGGAAAAGAAAACTGAATCCCAAGTTACAAACCTTTGTTAGAACACGCCACCCTTACACAGAGCAGAGCATGGATGTTTTTAAACAAACTTCTCCCATCGTTTTCCACCTTCATTGCTGGTTAACCCTAACTAACAGCTATAATGCAACCCATCCAGGCAAGATATACCAGGATAGATGTATGGTGGACACGCCAGCTTTTCAAACTTAGCTCGAAACTGAAGGTGACTATCCCATTTCTGCAACTTCAACCTAATTCAAAGCTTCACTCACAAGGTGAGTCTTTGCTTAAGGGAGCTCAGTGCCGGTTCAGCCTGCTTTCCACTCAGTAGCATTACTACAGGAACGCCTTGTAGCTGATACTCTAATTATTCATGGTTATTGGCAAATTAAGGCACTTGCCTCTCTAATATCCAGAAGAGGAGGAAGTGTTCAATTCCAAAGAAATCATGCCTTCCTGGGGCAGGCCGCCAGGCAGGAATGTGGCTGCCAAACCCTTATGAATAGGGAGGGATCTGATTTCACTTATAGTATGTGAATACACAGGACCCGATGGCACGTATTCCATGGAATGGCCATCGCCCGCCCCACCCCCTTTCTCTCTAGAGTCACTGAGGTCTGGATTTTCTTACCAACAAAACGATTCAGACGAGAAGCAATAAAAATGACACTTTTTTATTATCAAGATGATAAAAAAATTTGGTTTAGTAAAATATGTAGCTCGGTGCTTCCCGTTCTGGTGTGTGTTTCCAGTTCACATGCCAGAATGCGGGCGGTTCAGTGACTCCCCACTAGCGCTTAGGATTCATAACGATGGGACGGCAATACGGATCTCCTAAGGAGAGGTTCCTGCCCCCTTAACTCAATGACTTACAAACGCCTCTGTGCATGGATCTTTGTGCTATCTTGAAAAGTAACTAGTTTTTTTATTCAAAGAGCTCTGGATTTCAGAGGTGAATACCGCAGGCGCAGCCGACATAGCCGACTGCATCTCAGCAGAGCACTGACCCTCCCTCCATGCTCTGGGGGCCAACCTCACTCACAGCTTCAAACATGGGTCTGCTCCTCCCTAGGCCTAAACCAATCAACATAAGTCAGTGTTTCTCAACATTCCTATTCATTATCACCCTCTTAAGAAGCCTGTTTAATTTTTTTGTTAGCTAGTCCCCTCACCGCATAGTCTAACGCCTCCGATATACTGGGCATCTGTTTATGTATAGCTGTGCTGCTGTATAAAAAGAGTACTGTTTTTGCTCCCTCCTAGTCTCAACAAACTACTTTGCTTTTTGGGGCCCGTATCACTCTCATTGAGAATGCCTTCATTATAACTCTATTCCCT